CCGCTCAGAGATGTGTATAGACACAGGTTTAAATACGCAAAAACTAGACATCTGAGAGAAAAAGCAGGTATATTTTTTATGAATAATATATATAAATGATGTTGTTCTGAAAATATATTTTCCATAACACTATTGAATACACTACAATATTTCTTACAGGCCGAAATGATCGAGAAAGAGAAGGAGAACATTAAAAATGAATAGATCAATATTTTACAGATTTACATGATAATATGTTTAAATTCATTCATAGTATTTATATTTTTTAAGTTCAAAGTATAAGTTGTATTATTTGTTTATTAATTTATTAAAATTTTATTCGTTTATTTATTTATTAAAATTTATGCAATTAAATTTAAAAAATTATATATTATTAAACATTAAGACATATAAAATATTTCAAAATAAATACATATAAGTAATATAATAATACATATAAATAAATATATATAAGAAATAATATCAATAAATATTCATAATGCGGTCAAAAGTGATTAATTACGCCTTGATTTTCTATTTTTTATTACCTCAGTCTTAAAACTTTTGAATGTTGTTGTCAAACCAAATATAACTTCATTTTTCTACTATTTGAGTTAAGGAATAAATAATATTTTTTGAGAAATTTATTCTTTTGTAAAAAATAATTAACAAAAAAAAACCAATTTTTTATGAATTATTTTTTACAGGCGAATAAATATCACAAAAAATGTTATATCTTTTATCCCTTAACTCAAATAATAGAAAAGAGTTATCTGGTTTTGGCAATAACCTCTGTATGTTTAGCAAAGTTTCAAAAACGTTACATGTGAAACGTCGTGCACAAACTTTACACTAACGTTATATATGTATATGTTTATTAAACGTTTCACAAACGTTACAAATGGAACGTTGTGCATGAACTTTTCATGACGTTTTATATATACAGGGTGTCCCGTAACGCTTAATTAATATTTCAAGATGTGAAAGAGAATGAAATTTTGAATTAAAAGTTCCTCTTTCACAGGAGAATGTATGTGAAGTGCGCGAAGAGCCGCACATACGGCACGCTATACGCTCCTGCGTACTCCGGCTAA